CCTGCTCACTCACTCAGCCACACTGCCCTTGAGTGTACCTGAACACACAAAGCTTGCTCCACTCACTCTGCCATGCTGACCTTGAGTGTACCTGAACACACAAAGCTCCAACTTCATGACCTGTGCACTTGCTTTTTCCTCTGCCGGGATCTCCCCCAAGATCTCTGCAGCTTTTTCATCATTTAAATCTCACTTCAAGCCTTCTGATTATTTAATCCAAATTATACCTGTCCATTCACCCAGCCAACACTCTCATCATATCCTTGTTTTATTCTCTTTAAAGCACATTAAATGATATCTAAGAAATGTTTAAATAGGTTTCTGAATGTGTAAAACAAACCAGAAGGTCACTAAAGCCTAATGTTAAGAGTTAAGACAATCAAACTACCAAAGAAAAGGAAAAGCCAACATTGTGACATTGTAAATAGGAGATGAGAAGGTCTAATGTTTTCTGTGTAAAAGTCAAAGTTTAGGCAAGATTAAGCCCTGCATGAGTGACAGGTGCTTTCATCTTAGTCAGAAGTCAGCTTAGAGAAGAAAAAAGGGCTTATAAGAAACAAGATACCTCCAGGAAGATGACATTGAGCTTCTAATTATTCATTTCTCTCTCTCCCAGGGCAAACTCCCATTCCCATATGGTTCTCCAAAGACTGTGACTGGGCCTGATCCATCTTTGTGCTACCCCAGTGCCCAGGCCAGGGTATGACACCCATCAGATTTGTTGAACACAGGCAAGCCTCCTATTTCTGAGATGGCAAAATCACTTTATCAACATAAATACTGATTACTACCCCAAAATGCAAGAGTGCTGCACCTAGGGCTCCTCTGAAGGCCCAACCTTTGATTCACAATGTTCTGAGTTCTGAGTTAAGCATTATCCCTATTCCATGATGTCTTCTGTCCCTGGACCAGTTGGGATCCAAAAGGTCTTAAACACGGGTGATTTCCTCTTTAAACTCTATGCCTGCAATTCCAACCTTTACCACGAGGTGACAGGATTACACAAACCTTATCAAAACTAGTTTAATCTCTGACTACTTCTAATTAAAATACGCCCTAAATTAAAACAATATTCATACATATATACATGTATTTTAAAACTTATATTGGCATAGTTTTAAAAGTATAATACCCCACAGTTGGCCAGCATTTGGGGAAATATGCAGCATTTATTCATTGTTGGTGGGAATGTAAATTAGTACAGTCTCCTGGAGGGCAATTTGGCAATGCACATCAAAAGCCTTAAACATGTGTAAACCCTTTGGTGCAGCAATTCCACTTTTAGTTATTTATTCTAAGGAGATAATCATGGAAATAAGCTATATTTATTGCCAGGATGTTGAATGTAAGGGTGAAAAATTGTCAATATAAATAATTTAACTTTGAGACTAGTTAAATAAATGATATATCGGAACAAATACAATGCAGCCATTACATTCTCTAAGGATTTTTAATGATGCGGAAAAGTCTCATGCTATATTTAGTGGAAAAAATAGTACAAAAAAAGTCCAATATAATTGTATTTCAGATTTTGAGACTGACGTGCTGCCTACTGTGCTAAGAAGGCACTTGTAATTCTATTTTAAAGGCAATAAATATAAAAGCAAACTTGCATATAGGAAATACTAGAACAATCACCAAGATAAGAGGACTTATCTGTGAGTGGCAGAATTAGAGATGCTTTTTCCTTGTGTTTTTCTCTACTGTCCAAATGTTTTACAATAAACATGCTTTTTGTAGTAATCAAAAGAGGCTGCTAATGAATCCTTGGGAGCAGAGAGGACAGGCCAGCCTCTGTACAAGGAGGGCATAGACAGGGCGAGCTGGGCCCTTGTCGGCTCTGACTTCCTCAAGTCCACAGCCTGCCCCACAGATGTGGGTGGCCTCTATGCCCCGTGTCCTCCAGCCACTCCTATCAGGTCCACATACGAACCTGGCTTCAGCTGAGGGGACTGGTCTGAGTTAATCCAGAAAAGCACTGACAGTCTCCACCACCGCCCCCGGCCGGACTCTACCCTTGCTCTTACAAAGGGATAAGATACCAGCACAAAGAGAAAGAAAGAGAAGTCCTCCCTGAGGCCAGTCCAGAAGTTTGCTAAGCTACAAAAACAAACAAACAAAACCTTTTTCTAAAACTGACCATTCTCTAAGTTGTTTTTCCAAATATTGCAAATTTATACTGAGTAGATTAGAACGCTTTCTGAAACCCATCTTTTTTTCTCTTGAGACTGTCAACGACGAGGAAAGACAGCGGTGTTCATGGAAGGGCTGCCACACACAGGACTGGACGTGGCCTCTGTGCCTGACACTCATTTAACCCCAGCTCTGCAGGTGTCATCTCCCCAGGCCCAAGAGGTCAAGTAGCCTGCCCAAGTCCACGCAGGTGACTGACTCAAAGCCACAGTGTCCTCTGCACACGAGGGGTCTCGGAGGCGGCCCAGGCCCTTCAGCAGGAGGCAGTCCCCCTAGCCTCTGGGATGACCACATGGAGCCATCTGCAAATATACCACAGGCTGAGAGCTGGGCAGAGCCCTCCTGTCCTCCACAGGCCAAGAGATAGGAATTTCTGCTCAGGACCTGGGCCCCGGGAGCCTGCAAAAGATCCCCCCCTTCCTCGAATGCGGCTGCTTTTCCTCCTGCAGGGGAAGCTGAGCGGGGTGTCTGCCCCACCCTGTGGGTCTCGCAGAAGGAATGGCCCGGGTGGCGGTGCGAGAACAAGGGGCTTGGAGGCGCACAGCTGGGCTTGCTCCTGGTGCTGGCGACATGAATGCCCTGAATCCAGCCCACCCAGGGAAGACGCCTACCTCCGTGTGGAAATGGGGGTCTGCGTGTAAGCTGGGACTGGGTGACCTCAGGGAGAAGGCCATCATGGGCTGTGATACCAGCTTCCTAGAGACTTTGACAGGGTCCCCTCACCCTTCACCAGGCCCAGCCTGCTCAGGCTTCCCAGTGACTGGGGAGCTGCTGGTACAACCAGGGGCACGGCTGCCAGAGCTGCCTACACACAGGAAGTGGGGGGGGCTTGCTGGACCCCAACTCTCTTCCTTCCAAGAAAACTCCCAGTGTCAAGCCTGAGGGACACCCGCGGGGCTCCACACACATCCATCTCTCCGTTCCCAGCCCCGACAGTGACAGCGCTCTTTCTCCAGGCCAGGCCCAGGTATGAGGGAGCCCAATACCACCTCCACACTCAACTTCATCTTTAATTCCCGACAGTCCTGTCACAGCCCCTGGGACAGCAGCCCCGGGTTTGCCCTGACTCACGTTCTGGGTGCTCTCAGCCAAGGCGCTTTCCTTTCCCAAGGCTTCACAGCGAGTGAGCTGCAGAGACGAGAACCATGCCCAGCTACTTAATCCACACCCAGCCTCCTGCCTGTCGGCCACAGGGCCAGCTGCCCACCCCACCCAGCTGGGTCCCGGGAGGAAGGAGTGAGGGAGAAGAGGCCTCTGTGGGACGCAGACCCTGGCAGCTGCTCTGGTGTGGCTGAGAAAAGCCCCCTGCCCCTCCCCCGGGTACGCAGGCAGCATCTTCCCCGACCGCTGGGTCACTGTTTGCTCAGAGGAAACAATGGAGAAGAGGGGGAGGAAACCACTCGCCCACTCCCCACCCTCTCCCCTCTGGACCTGTGAATACAGAGTAACCGGGGCAAAGGGAACTGGGTCGTGCCAGGAGTGGTTCTGTTAGTCTCCGGTCCTCCCGGGCTGGTACTGGTATGGCGAATAATGCCAAGACACGAGGCTGAACTTTGCAGCAAAAGCCTGTGCTTCCTCAAGACGCTGGACACCCAAAGGTCTGGGCTGCCGTGCCCAGGAGACGGAAGCCTGACCCCTGCCTAGTCAGAAGAGCAGCTGGGGACGGTGGCAGGGCCCTAACCCCAGTGTGTGCCGTGGGAATAGGGTGGTCACGGCTGTTTTTCACATGGCATTCTTACTCCCTCGGAGTCTGAGAGGCCAGGCTGTTTGCTGCTGGGGGAGCTGCCCTGACTGCCTGGGAGATCCCAAACTTGACTCAGCCCAGCACGGGGCCACTCTGGCATGAAGTCAGCGTTCCGCAGGGTTACCACCAAGTCCTGGAGGGTGGGTTTGTGACACATTTTGTGCCTTCATCTCTGCATTCACAGAGCAGAAAATTAAAGCTCAGAGAAGGTGAGCACCTTCTCTAAGGTCACTCAGCCAGGAGGAAGCAGAGTGGACCCCATGCCAAGTCTCCCTGGGGCTGGGGCTGGACTCCCCTCCTCCACTGCAGGACCAGGGACCACCCCTCTTCATTGCCAGCCCTCCTGACTGCACAGATCTGGCCCCTGAATCAGCCAGCATTTCCCTCCTTGCGTCGTCCTGCCCTGGAGGCACAGAATGAATCTGCCCCTCCCTTGCTGGCCCTGCCAATCTCTTCTTCTGCTGGGCTCCCCCTGCTCTTTCCGATGTCCCAGGACCTCCGGATGCTGCTGCCACGACCCTCACCCCCGCGCAGGCCCTGGCGGTGGCACAGCCACACTGTGCCTTGCTGCTGATGTGGCACTTACTTGGCCTGGGCTGGGACATCTATTCCAAGAATGCGCTAACTTTTGGGTTCATTTTAAGAGCTCTGCCAAGGGATGACACCACAAGGCCAAACTGGAACCAGCCAGTCTCCTGTTATCAAGTGACGACGAGGAGCGGTGGCTGGGACAGGTCCTCCGCCCACGGGGAAGAGGCCCAGCCTGTCCAGTGGAGCACGCCACAGTGCGGGGGCTGGACTTACTGAAGAAGCAGTGCTAGGTGGACTCAGTGCCACCCAGACACCTGAGCGAGGTGCTCTGCTTTGCCTCCAGGGCAGCCCTGGAGATCTGTGCAGCCTTTATCTCCCTGGAGCTCACACTAATCCCCTCCACAGAAAGACCACTACTGCTGAGGAGCAGAGGAGGAGACAGGAGCGCAGACAGAGTTAAATCAAGGCTCAGGGAAAGAATATTGGTTTAAGAGGAAAGGGCGAAGAGAGCAAAAAATAAATGACAAATTACCGGGTAGCCATCGCGTCCTGATTGCCCCTGTGGTAATTAATACGTCATTAATAATCAGACTTTCGGCAGAAACCATATGGCAGCACTTAGAGCTCAATCAGGGCCCAGTCCCACACCACCCCCCGACAGCTGGCTGGTGACTTGCTCTGCAGGGAGGACTCAAGGGCTCCAGGGGTCTTGGGGGCAAAGCAGCCCTTTCCTGCCTCGGAGGGCCAGGCTGGTGGGACCAGGAGCCTCAGGGCTTCATCGGGGCCCCAGGCATAGTCACATGAGTGTCCTCCTCACGGTGGCCGGGCATAGGGTAAATGCCACGTGGGGACGTGGGGTTCTGGAGGGTGGAGCCACAGCCACATGACCCAACCAGGAACTGCAAATGCTCCTTAAACTCAGCCTGCGAGAGGCCTGGAAGACAGCCTGCTTCCTCTCAGCTGCCACTGGGATGGGGTGAACCAGGAAAGCGAGCCTTAGAAGCCAGGACTATGGGGGGTGTTCACTGTGGCTGGAGGCTTCTCTGCCCCCTAGTTCTGGTCCCTGGAGCAGTGACCACGCTGCCCAGGTGCCACACTTTGGCACCCATCTCCCTGGTCAGACTGACCCTTGCAGGTTTTGCAGCTCGAGAATTTCCGCATTTGTTTAATCCATTTAATATTTTCACTGCCAAGTTAAAAAAAAAAAAACAAAAACCAAAAAACAAACAAACAAAAACCACTCCATAGCCCCCCGCGTTAGGTACTTCAGCAAGTTCACGCACGCCAGCCTCCCTGAGACAGCCAGGAAGAGCTCTGCTGTCAAACATCGCTTGAGGCCAATAAACCAACACAATCCTGTTGGCTTGCTTGGCTCACGGTGGGGCTACATGCACCGAGAAGCCCAGATTCCGAAGGGCACCGACCAGGAAACGAATCATGGTACGTGGAAGTAAAAAACAAAATGGTTCATCTGAAAGGAATTCCTTGAGAAGGTTGGTTTTGGCTCTGGCTGACTGTCAGTGTGCTTCTTGAATGGATTAGTTGGGATTTATCGGGCTCTGAAAAACTGACAGCGTGAATCAAAGGCAGGCGCATCCTTTGCCCTGGAGAATGAATGGGATTTCTAGGGCCACGTGCGATCCCTGCATTCAAAGCTGCCTCTGGCCGGCCAGAAGTTCAAGGGAGCCGCCCAGGGCTTCCCTCATACCCTTCACACCCCTCACAAATGCAGTGACATTTCCCTCCTGCTCCCATGCAACGCCCTCACCAGCCAGCTGTGCTCACAAGGTCTCAGCTGTCTGATCCACATTCTGGCAAAGAAGAAAAATGAACCCCAGGGTCTAGTGGTCAAGCCCGACTCATTCCTGGGACAACTGCCCGACTCTACAGCCCTTTCTGCCAAAGCACGGGGCACTGAAGCATTTAGAAACATCAACTGCCACAGAGCATTTTAAAACTATGGGCATGGCGCTAGCATCTCTGTGTACCAAGGGGGGCCCAAGATTTGGCAAGGAACAGCCAGGCTTGTGCGCTGGCTCTCTTGCTAGGAAAATGGTCACAGAACGTTTCAGTGAACAGGTCTGGCCTGTGGAATTCTGTGCCTGCATTCATCTACAAATTAAAAAACAACACGACTCCTCTATAGGACTGATATTTTCCCCCAAAACACATGATTTTTTTGTTTTTGTTTCTGAGACGGAGTCTCGCTCTGTCTATTGCCCAGGCTGGAGTGCAGTGGTACCATCTTGACTCACTGCAACCTCTGCCTCCTGGGTTCAAGCAATTTTCATGCCTCGATTTCCCAAGTAGCTGGGATCACAGGCATCCGCCACCACGCCGGGCTAATTTTTGTATTTTTAGGAGAGATGAGGTCTCACTATGTTGGCCAGGCTGGTCTCGAACTCGTGACCTCAAGTGATCTGTCCACCTTGGCCTCCCAAAGTGCTGGGATTACAGGCGTGTGCCACTGCGCCTGGCCGCTTTTTAATAGGACTGTTTTTTTTTTTTGAGGACACACCTCCCTAACCAAAATTATGTTCATGGAATTGCAACAGAGAGAAAACCGAACATCTTATCTTTCAGAAGTAGACAGCACAGTCCAGGACACTTACTGGAGGACCTGCAAAACACAAGCAGAGAAGCCACAGTCAGCGCGGAAGGCAGAGTCCCCTCGCCCGTCCTCAGCGCGGCTCCTGGCCACCCCTCCCTGGAAGGCTCTGATGCTGCCGTGGCTGTTTCCTGCCATGGCCTGGAGCTGGGGGCAGAGTAGAAGGAGCACCTTTGCTCTTGGAGAGCCCGGGGTGGTCCCGGGGGTGGTGGTGACAATTCCCACAGGCATGGGTGCAGGCACTCATGTCACCAGGCAGCTTCGGGTTCTGGCGCTGAGTAGGAATCGGAACTTGTTCCTACTTAAAGAACAAGCTCTGGTTCTCCTGAGGGGATGGTTTGTTTCTACTGAGGGGAGACAGGGGGAGCAAACATTTTGGACAGAGAGAATACTGGGAGGAACAGCAAATGGGTGTGGCTGAACAGGCTTTTTGGGGGAGGGGTTCCTGCTGCCCAGACCCAGGGTCAGAAATGCATGAGGAGTAGCAGGGGTTGGGGCTGTGGCTGAGACTTGTCTACCAGATGAGGGCTCACAGAGAACCCTGATGAGGCCCACGGGGGCTTCACCTCACAGCTTGCAAGGCATGTAGCATACCCATTATTGCATTTGACCTTCCCAACCATCTTTCGTGAGAGGTCTGATGAACATCTCCATTGGACAGCGGATAACGCAGAGGCTCACAGAGCCGCGACTTGTGTGGGGCCACATCGTTGATTAGGGGTGGAGTGAGCGCATGCTGGATGGAAGGAGGTCTCCCAACTCTATCAGCCCTAGGCGCTGTGCACTGAGCCACGCCGCTGGCAAACCAGACCCCAAACCTCACTCGAGGTTACACGGGGAGGCAGCACCCGGCAGTCAGTGACCAGCATGATTTATACATCCCAACTATGAGCCAGGAGCCATGGGGGTAACTAACGGGACCAGTAGTGAGTGCAAGAGGCAAGAGCCCTGACTCATGAATGTTGATGAAGCAGACAGATCCCGAAGAGGACATCTACACAGGGAGAAGGCCAGGAAGCTCCAAGCATGGCACAAGGGCCCTGACCCAGGCTGGGCCGAGTCCAGAGGGTGAGAAAAGAGGAGGGAGGAGTGTTGCAGAGATGGACAAGCTCAGAACATGCCAAGATCATGGGCTTTTGAGGAGCCAGGAGAAGTGAAGGCTGCTGCAGTGAGGGAGGGCCAGAGAAGGCAGGGCAGGCCAAGCCTGGGGGTTTGTTTCCAGGTCATGGTCTGGGGGGCTTGGTTCTAAGGGTGAAGGGGAGTCAGTGAAGGGTTCTGCATGGAGGAGTGATGGGGAGGGACAGGAGTGCACCTGGAGATGCGCCGAGGGGTCCCTGTGCAGGTGCTGCTGGGTGAAGGGGGGAACGGAGACTCAGGAGATGTTGGTCAGAGGAGAGATGGGGCTCGCACGGTAGTGGTACATAGAGGACGGAGAGAGATGACAAGGATTTTTGGCTTGAAACACTGATGTACTCATACCCAAGAATGATGACATGGGGGACAGTGGTTTCCCCAAGTCTAGATCAGAGGCAGAGCAGAGCAAGATACTGGCAACCTGGACATCCCATTGAGCTGACTCCTCACTGTCAGCCAATGACCTTGATTCCTGTTTTCCAAAGCAAACAAAAGCTGCCGGATAGGTTCACCATCGCCTTTCCAACACCGGTTGTACACATCTGTGCCCGTACCTGCACCTCAGCCTGCACCTGCATCTGTACCTCCCCCGTGCCTGCACCTGCATCTGCAACTACGCCTATACCTGTACCTGCCTTTCCACCTGCCCCTCCCCCTCCATCTGCTCCTGCACCTGCCCTCCTCTCCATGCCTTCAGGTTAACTCAGAGGAACTGATCCACCTTCAATTAGGCCACTGTCCCCTCTGTATTGCCCAGAGCCTGGGCCCATCCACAGTCCCTCTGGATCTCAGTCACACTTGCCCTCTCCCACAAGTCCTGCCCAACAGCTCTGAAACACGCTCTAATTCCTCGGATGGCAAAGCCATCCCTTGGTTGCACACCCCCTTCTATTTCTGCCCTTCCTCCGCTCTCTCCCTCACAGCAAGAAACAGTGGGAGGCGGCTTCAGAGGGGCAATGAGGTGGGGCAATTGGGTAGGGCCTTGAGCAGAGAGAGGATGTGACCTGGCTCACATTTTAAAGATCCCCCGGTGTGGGGTGGCAGGGGTAGAACCCAGAGGCTACCGCATGCTGCAGAGGAGAGAGGACGGTGGCTCCCAGCTGGTGGTGGCAGTGGAAGTGCTGGACGTGGTTGGGATTGATTCCGACAGCACAGCCAAAGGATTTCCCTAGTTTTGGCTTGAGCAACTGAAAGGATGGGGCTGCCATCAGCAGAGGTGGGGAGATAGTGGTGGGACAGGCTCGGCTGAAGGGGTCAGAAGCTTGGCACACGTGGCACGGCTGGAAGTAAAGAGAAGATCAGGAAGTCCTGGAAGCGAAGTAGAGAAAGTGTCCCAGGAGGGAGCGATCGCCTGTGCACAGGGCAAAGGAACCGCCCTGCAGATGGGTCAGGTAAGAAGACCAGGAACTGGACGCAGCAATGCAGAGGCATATCTGGGGAGTGACAGGAGTGGGGTCTGATGGGAGAGGGTTTCAGAGAGAAAGGGGGTCAGGGATGTGGACAGTGGGTGCTTTTGAGGAGCTCTGCAGCAAAGGTGAGGAAATGAACAGTGGCTTTGTGGGGGTGGGGCTGGCAATGGGTATTTCTTTAGGATGAGCGACATGGCCACACGTTTGTAGGATGTGAGTGGTCCAGCAGAGAGAGAGGATTCGGTGTCGGGGGAGAAGGGGAGATGCCTGGAGCAACGTTCTTGAGGAGGTGAGAAGGGCTGGCTCCTGGTGCTGGCACAGATGGGGGCCTGGACAGTCCATCTGTGGAGACGGCAGGAGGAAGAGTGCCTGGTGCTGCCGGGCATGTGCCATGGAGGTGGGAGTTCAGGCAAGTTCTCTTCTGATCGTGCCAACTCTCCCAGTGAAGCAGGAAGCAAGGCTGTCAGCCTCAGGCGATGATGGAGCAGGAGGCGTTGGGGGACTGAGCGGGAGAGGCTGAACGGGCTGGAGAACGTGGCCTCAGCCAGGCGGCAGAAAGGGCCACGGGGGCCGGGGACACTTCTCTCCAGCTGGGTAATCGGTACACACTGGAGTGGAGCATGTGGAGGGGGCTGGGTTCAGTCTGGGGGTGGGGCTTTTGCTGAGTGAGAACGAGGGAGGAGGGAGCAGCAGGGAGGTCTGGCATGGGGCAGCTGGCAGGATTCCAGCTGGAGGGGTGAGGGGCAAGGGGCTGGGATCCATGGATCTGAAGGCTGGAGGCGGAAGGGTTGTAGGGGTCAGGGAGAGGGAGTGGGCTGGAATTTGTGAACTGAGAATTTGTGGATGCTGCATTTATATTGGGCGAGATCTCGGGAGGGAGAGGTTGTGGTCAGAGGAGGCCAAACCTACCAGAGGAGAGGAGGCCACGGAGTCCAGAGGCCAGGCTGTGTAAGGGGCTTCTATGTGGCTATCAAGATTCATAAGAATTCACCCAGAAGCACTGTGGGAGAGAGGGCTGGTGACCCAGGGGCTGGCACCGACTAGCAATGAGATGGGTGCACCTGGGACCAGAGACGGCTTCAAGAATGACGCCCCATCACCAGCCCCGTCTCCCATTCTGGGGCCAGGGTCATGTTTCTCAAAACGCAGATCTGATCCTGGCACTTCCCTCCTCACCGTCTTGTTCCTAAGACAAAGGCCCAAACCCCATGGTGCCTTCCACCTGGTGATCTGCCTCCCCCAATCGCTACCTAGCTCCCTCCCCAGGGCCTCCACACCTGAACCTCTGGGAACAGCAGGGGGAGATGTGTTATAACCGCTAGTTGCCACGAGAAAATGAAATTGGATCCCTGCCTCAGCACCAACCCGGATGAATTCCAAAAGGATCAACGATTTTACAGGTTAAGAAAACTAGAAAAATCCTAGAAGAAAACGTGGGAATATTCCTTTCTAGCCTTGGAGAGGGCAGGCTTTTCCAACTATGGTTCGTAATCCAGAAGCCACAAAAGACAGGCCTGATCCAACCATATAAACCCAAAAAATGTCCACAAGGCAGAAAGTCTTGGAAGCGAAGTCGAAGGCCAACCTAGGCCAGGCGCGGTGACTCGCGCCTGTAATCCCAGCACTTTGGGAGGCCGAGGCAGGCAGCTCACCTGAGGTCAGGAGTTCAAGATCAGCCTGGACAACATGGTGAAACCCCGTCTTTATTAAAAATACAAAAAACCCCAAACAAAACAAAACAAAAAACCAAAAAACCAATTAGCCGGCTGTGCTGGCGTGTGCTTGTGATCCCAGTTACTCGGGAGGCTGAGGCAGGGCAATTGCTTGAACCTGGGAGGCAGAGGTTGCAGTGAGCCGAGATCACATCACTGCACTCTGGCCTCGGTGACAGAGTGAGACTCTGGCTCAAAAACAAAGCCAACCTAGGAGACATATATCTAACTCAGGTCACAAAGTCTAGATACCTTGACATAAAAACATTCCTACAAGACATCTCTCAAAACACCAGCAACTTAGTAGAAACAATATATCCAAAGATATGAATGAAGAAGTCACAGAACAGAAAATACAAATAGCCTTGAAATATCTGGATTATGAATGAGGATTAACTTTTGTAGCTACAAGTGCTAATCTTCATAATAAAAGAAGCGAAGGTTAGAATTATGATCATATCAGATTAAAAAAATGAAAAAAGACTCATGACCTACTGTGTGAAGGGCAATGAGGACAGTCACCTTACACATTGGTGAGAGGATAAATTGGAACCTTCTCTCTAGGGAGTGATCTGGCAATACTTAATAAGATTTAAAATGTATGTGCCGATTGCCACAGCAATTATCCTCCTAGAAATGTATTCTGCAGCTATGTTAACACATATGTAAAAGGAGAGGGGTATAAAAACAGTCCTCATCACAGAAGTGTTCAGATAGTAAAAGTATTAGAAATGGCGCAGATGGAACTGATAGAGGA